TTTTTTTTTTTTTTTTTTTTGAGATCCACACAATAAAATAAGCACACATGCTCAAATTCAATATGAATAAAATGAAATTATTTAAAATATTTTTTTTTCAGTGTTACTTTCTTCATATGTAAAATAAATAATAATAAATACTATTTTAAAATAACAAATATGCTGTAATTCTACCATGAATTATAAACGTATAACTTATATTAAATATAATAATAGTAATAATAATGCATCTGTTAACAATTTTGATATTTTTAGTGGTTTTCAATAATAATAATTAGCATTGTTTTTTTTTTTTTTTTTTTTACACATTTCATTAATAAAAATTTGGGGAGGAATATGCTTAATTTTCAATAAAAGAAAGTCAAATTACAGAAAATCCTAATGGTTCTAAAAAAGTCTTAATATGCTTCACATGCGAAATAAAAATACGTAACTTAATTGCCAGTGCCTTTGATTTTGTTTTAATATGACCCAGACTTTCTGACAAGTTTTTTGAGATGCACACATTAAAATAAACACAAGCCACATCAGCAGCACTTCTAATAGACAATCTGACAGCTCTTGTTTCTTAATGATTACATTTAGAAGAAAAGGGGGATGCATGAGAGAAACAGCTGATACCTTCTGACGTGAAAGAAGCATTTCAGATCGGACTGAAGTCATGCAGCAGTGAAGCACAGCTCATATCAGCTCATATCAGTCAGGATGAGGAGATTCTGTGATTGACAGCCGCTCATCTGAGGGTTTGACTGTGTAATCGCGCCGCTCAGATCAATGCGTCTACTGTTAATGCTATCTGAAGATCTCAGGTCATACGGGGTCACTTTCACATGTAATTGGGACGGATTCATCTGCATTAAGTAGATGCATGCATTTGTATTTGCATAGAAATAAACCTGCCAAAAATAGAGCAGCGTGGATGCATCAAAAGGATCCCTTTGCGACCCACTTAAATGACTTTAATGGAAGAATGCATTGATTCTCCTGCGACACGTCATTTCACACGCAAATATATATAAATATTAATAAATCGGAGGATTATGATTTATATTTGGAATGGATATTTTGGATGGCTTTTAATATAATTGTTTATGTCTCTCTCACTCTCTCTCTCTCTGAGCGGATGTTGGGAGTGAATGGGCGGAGTTAGCGTGTGTGAGTGGAAGAGAGCTACTGCACGAGTGAGTGTTTCTATCTTTTTTCTATCTTTTGCTGTTTGTTTGACTCTCGGTTGATTAATGATTATGAAAGTTTCTTGTATAGGTGGGGGTATAATGAAATCATCTGTACAGTAGTGGATGGAATGCTGTTTTTTAATTTGGTATTGGAGTAAGTTTTAGGTGTGAAAAAATGGAAACATGTTAAGTCATGTGGAAGCACCTTGAAAATGTGTAATGTGATGAGTTTTAAAAATTATATTGTGAAATTGTTTGTATGATTTAATAAAGTTGTTGTGAAAATTCAAATTCTCTATATAATTAATAAATAAAATTAATTAGAATCAATTTAATTAATTTTTTCTATTTTATTGATTTTTATTGATTTTATTTCAGTTTTAGTCTATCAAGTTAAATGAAATAAAAATAAAAATGATGAAATATGTTTTTATATATTTAATTTCAATTTTATTTCAAATAATGATTTTTTTTATGGTTTTAATGTATAAGTTTAAGTATAACATATATGCACTTTTGTATTTTTATAGCATCTGAATTAAAACTTATGCAACACAAATGCACAACATGGTAAAATACCAATCCAGATGCTCTGAGTATTGTAAATTCATCATATACTGATGTCAGTAATTAAACAATGACTGGTAATTACTGAAAGCTCACTGATGACAGTGAAAGCTAATGTTAAATGACCTGCAGAGACAATAACTGTGGCAACTATTTTGGCAGAAATCGATTACCATGGTAAATGTTTGTAAGGGAAACAAATGTTTCATGGTTGCATGACATATTCATACAACATACTGACATACCGGTACACAAAACCGCACCCAATAACATCTATAACACCTGGAGAAAAGCTTTACGCCAGTATTTCCATTCATCTGGGGTTTCAGAGCATTAAA